ACAAACTCACCCTTCTGCGTGGGATTGGGCAACGGATGTCTGGTTGGTCTCCAAAGTTTTTGTAGGTGATATAGTTCTCAGAGCAAATGAGCACACCACTGGGACCATCCGAACCACCAGGAACTACGACGCACAGGGGAAAAGGGCAGATTAGCACAAACTCATAAGACACTTAGCAACATTTTTCTCCTCTGAAAGCAAAACTTTCTTTGCCGAGCCCAGGAAGATCAGATATCAAAACAATCTCTTCACCAAACAGTCAGAGAAGAGACATGAAGATATTCATCATTTCTGACAACGCAACAAAGAACATTACTTGTAATCTACGGTTCAATAGTTTGGGGTCTGTAGGATTTTAATGTTTTTGAAAGAAACTTATGCTCACCAAGGCTGCATTTACTTCATAAAATTACACTGTAAATCCACTAATATTGTTAAACATAACTTTAAATGTTTCAATATTTTAATTTATTCCTGTGATGGCAAAGCTACATTTATAGCAGACATTACTTCAGTGTTCAGGGTCACATGATCCTTCAGAAATCATTCTAATATAAAGATTTTCTGCACAAAAAAAAAAATTTTTTTTTTCAGGATTCTAATAATGAATAAAAGGAGCATTTATTTGAAACAGAAATCTTTTGTATTAATCTTTACTGTCGCTTTTTGTTCAATTTAATAACGTTTACAAATTTACAAATCACACTATTTTTTTACACCAATTATCTCAACCACAATTATGGTGAAATAAGTGCTAGATAATAACGGTGTTGTGCTAAAGGTATTGCAACATTGCCTATCTTGTGAATCCTTATCTAGCATTTGACATCTTTACATTCTAAAAAGATCAGTACCTGTGATGAGGAAGTTGCCGTGTTCCTCCAGTGCCTCGCTGTACTTGCGCACCACATGGTTGAGGCCCAAGTCCAACTCATAGAAGGTCAGAGTCTGCTGTGTGTTTGCCGCAGCCTCTCCGGTGGGATCATTATCGGCCTCCTGCAAAAAACATTTAACACTGTGGATTAGAGACATGTCACCTAACTGATTATATTTGTAAAACCATGAAAAACCAGGATGAAGTAGTATCATGGCACTGGCTACATGCAAAAACACCCCAATCTGTAAAGAATCTGTGTTCCTTAAGCTACCTGCTTGTGTTTACATCCTAGGCAACTTAGCAGTGGTCAGGCCACCAACATGAATCTTATTCCACCACTAGTTCAGTGGTTCGACCTTTTTGACTCAAAGGCCCACCACTGTCCAATACAATATTCGAAAGACCACCCTCATATAGGCCAAGATATTTCTGGTTTTGTGATTAGCATTTTTCATTTAGATTAGAATTTTAACTTGTTACTATAAATTTAATATTTTAGCTACTTTTAAATCATCCTGCAGTCCCCTTGGGAGGTTTCAGACCCTAGCCCTCAGGTTGAAAACCAATGCACTACAAGAAAGACACTGACCTCATAGTCCATCTCCAGGCAGGCAAACATAGGGTTCTCAAAACCCACATCCACACCAACCACATGGTAAACAAGTGTATTAGCCTTGTGGGCCTCTAGAGGGGAGGAGATGGTAAGGCGGGCAGCTGCATCTCTGTTCAGGATGTATACCAACTTCTGCTTCTCTATGGCACCTAAGAAAATGGAATGTGGATAGTAAAAATGCAAGAACACAATTTTCAATTAAAGGAATAGTTCACCCTAAACTAAAAATTTACTCTAGCCCATCAATGAATGTCTCGTGAAGCAAAAAGATGCGTGTTTTAGGCAACAAATCCATCACGGAGGCATTTCATAATAATGCTTCCTCCACCATAAAAAGCCCATCCTCTGTTGTCCTTTCACATCAAACTGTAGTTCTCAGAGCAAATGAGCACACCGCTGGGACCATCCGAACCACCAGGAACTACGACACAGGGTAAAAGGTCAGATTAACACAAACTCATAAAACATTTAGCTACATTCTTCTCCTTTAAAAGCAAAACTGAATCCATGAAGATCAGATATCAAAACAATCTCTTCACCAAACAGTCAGAGAAGAGACATGGAGATATTCATCATTTCTGACACAACGCTTACGCAACAGAAAAAAATTACTCGTAATCTACAATACCGTTCAATAGTTTGGGGTTTGTAAAATGTTTACTATTTTTGAAAGAACTATCTTTATGCTCACCAAGGCTGCATTTAATTGATAAAAATAAAAAAGTAATATTGTGAAATATTACTACAAATTCAAATAATGTTTTCTATTTCAAAAATTCTCGTTTTCTTTTTTCTTTTTCAAAATTGTATTTGTTCCTGTGATGGCAAAGCTGAATTTATAGCAGCCATTACTTCAGTCTTCAGTGTCACATGATTCATAAAAAAAAAAAAAATCATTCTAATATGAAAATGTTGTGCTCAATGTTGAAAAGAGTTGTGCTCTTTAATATTTTGTGGAAAGTGATTTTTTCCAGGACTCGAGATGAATAAAAAGTTTAAAAGAACAGCATTTATTTGAAATAGAAATCTTTTGTAACATTATAAATGTCTGTTCTGTCACTATCATTCAATTTAATAACACATCTTTGCTAAATAAAAGTAATTTCTTCCAAAAAAAAAAAAATCTAACTGACCCCAAACTTAAGTAAATTTAGATTCACTTTTTTTTTTTTTACTTATTATCTTGAAAGCAATTATGTTGAAATAAGTGTTAGAAAACAAATGAGCTGCTAAAGGTATTGCAACACAGACTAGCTTGTGAATCCCTATCTAGCATTTTGAAATCTGACATTTGAAAAAGGTCAGAACCTGTGATGAGGAAGTTGCCGTGTTCCTCCAGTGCCTCGCTGTACTTGCGCACCACATGGTTGAGGCCCAAGTCCAACTCATAGAAGGTCAGAGTCTGCTGTGTGTTTGCCGCAGCCTCTCCGGTGGGATCATTATCGGCCTCCTGCAAAAAACATTTAACACTGTGGATTAGAGACATGTCACCTAACTGATTATATTTGTAAAACCATGAAAAACCAGGATGAAGTAGTATCATGGCACTGGCTACATGCAAAAACACCCCAATCTGTGTTCCTTAAGCTACCTGCTTGTGTTTACATCCTAGGCAACTTAGCAGTGGTCAGGCCACCAACATGAATCTTATTCCACCACTAGTTCAGTGGTTCGACCTTTTTGACTCAAAGGCCCACCACTGTCCAATACAATATTCGAAAGACCACCCTCATATAGGCTAAGATATTTCTGGTTTTGTGATTAGCATTTTTCATTTAGATTAGAATTTTAACTTACTATAAATTTAATATTTTAGCTACTTTTAAATCATCCTGCAGTCCCCTTGGGAGGTTTCAGACCCTAGCCCTCAGGTTGAAAACCAATGCACTACAAGAAAGACACTGACCTCATAGTCCATCTCCAGGCAGGCAAACATAGGGTTCTCAAAACCCACATCCACACCAACCACATGGTAAACAAGTGTATTAGCCTTGTGGGCCTCTAGAGGGGAGGAGATGGTAAGGCGGGCAGCTGCATCTCTGTTCAGGATGTATACCAACTTCTGCTTCTCTATGGCACCTAAGAAAATGGAATGTGGATAGTAAAAATGCAAGAACACAATTTTCAATTAAAGGAATAGTTCACCCTAAACTAAAAATTTACTCTAGCCCATCAATGAATGTCTCGTGAAGCAAAAAGATGCGTGTTTTAGGCAACAAATCCATCACGAAGGCATTTCATAATAATGCTTCCTCCACCATAAAAAGCCCATCCTCTGTTGTCCTTTCACATCAAACTGGCAAAAATTCTAGTCAGTAATAATGCATCCTCTACTGGAAAAAGCCCATCGTCTGTTATCCTCTTAAATCAAAACACACTGACATATTTGGTTAGAATGGTTTTGGAACATATTCACTTGTAAACAGCGCTTGATTTTGCTATCGACTCAGACGAGATGACTTTTTCACTGAATATAGCAATATGATGGATAGGGGACTCATATTTTAGCTGGAAGCAAAGGTTTGAAGTTAAAAACGTCTTTCCAAACACAGTTTTTCACTTCACGAAATGTTAACTGACGGACTGCAGTCATGTTGATTACTTCTTGACTATTGCGGAATGTGGATAGTAAAAATGCAAGAACACAATTTTCAATTAAAGGAATAGTTCACCCTAAACTAAAAATTTACTCTAGCCCATCAATGAATGTCTCGTGAAGCAAAAAGATGCGTGTTTTAGGCAACAAATCCATCACGGAGGCATTTCATAATAATGCTTCCTCCACCATAAAAAGCCCATCCTCTGTTGTCCTTTCACATCAAACTGTCGCTTCTGGCAAAAATTCTAGTCAGTAATAATGCATCCTCTACTGGAAAAAGCCCATCGTCTGTTATCCTCTTAAATCAAAACCCACTGACATATTTGGTTAGAATGGTTTTGGAACATATTCACTTGTAAACCGTGCTTGATTTTGCTATTGACTCAGACGAGATGACTTTTTCACTGAATATAGCAATATGATGGATAGGGGACTCATATTTTAGCTGGAAGCAAAGGTTTGAAGTTAAAAACGTCTTTCCAAACACAGTTTTTCACTTCACGAAATGTTAACTGACGGACTGCAGTCATGTTGATTACTTCTTGACTATTGTGATGGTTTATCAGCTGTTTGAACTCTCATTCTGATGGCAGCCATTCATTGCAGAGCATCCGTTGGGGAACAAATGATATAATGCAAAATTTTTCCACATTTGTTCTGATGAAGAAACAAACTCAACTACATATTGAATAGCCTGTGGGTGAAAACATTTTCAGCAAATTTTAATTTTGGCAAACAATTCCTTTAACTGCTATCCTAATGCATGTCAAACTGCTACAACCTTGTAGTCTTTACTACATAGAGTCTGTAGCTTTACCTATCATAAGAGCTCTGCCCTTTGGGTCCACAGCGAGGAACTGCCCTGGCACGATACGTCTGCAGCCGCTCTTGCCGAATGTCTCCTGGTGTATCTTTTCAAACATGTTTTTGGAAGGATGGTACTCCAAGATCACAATTCGGCCAGAGTCACTTCCAACCACAACATAGTCTATTACAAGGCGAGAGATCCATAAGAATTAAACAATCTCCATACATATGATCTATGCAAAACATCAATTTGAACCAAGTTACTAACCTTTAGTTCCACCTGTCAACCTGAAAGCCATGAGGGATCGGATAACACCAAACACCTCCATAGTAAGCAGTGTGTGGACCTTCCCAGTGTTGGCATCAGGACGCAGCAGTTCCAGAATTTTCCCACGGGAAACAACAATCTCCTGCAGCTTTGTTCCTAGTAAAAAAGGAACACCAAAGATTTAATAATCATTCTTAATTCTCAACACTTCAAAATAAAATGCAACACTATTCTTGCAGTTACCCTAACAAAAATAAGTAAAATACACTGCATTTAAGAAACCACCCAGGAAGTGTTGTTTTGTGATATACCTGAGAAGTTGCCATGGATGGCATGGGAGATGCCAGTTGCCCGCTGCAGGGTCAGGTTGTACAGAAACATGGCTGCTGTGACTGGACCTTCAGGCTCAGGACAAAGAGCTTAACCAACACCTACAAGCAAGTCATACAGAGATTGTATAAGCATCAAAGTTAAAGGTGAGGACAGCAAAACGACTTATAAGGCAAAAACTAGTGTTCACTTCATCTAATTAGCACAGAAACATTAAACTTAACATTACGCAAACATCACTGAATTAGGTACAAATACGTTCCATATATGGTCTTATGTTAACTTTAACAATGCTGATGCTCGGAAAATAAATATGTTGGATTTTAAACAACGTTTAGGGTAATCATTTTGTATTTTCATTAGTAGCTCTATGGCTAATCAAATGTCTGTAGGACAAACTGAACTCTGCATAGTGAGAGCAAGTTTGTAGAGTTTCACTTTGGATCGTTCGTCGAGTTACAACATGCATGGAAGAAAAAAAATATGCTAAATAAGTGTTCTTGTAACTTTACATCATGTAACACAAAATCAGCACATAATCTACAGCAAACGGCGCTTGAATTTGCAAAGCATGTGCACTGTGGTTACGGAAATTCCAGAAAATAACCGTAAGGGCAAAATGTTTCATTTTTTCCATTACAGTTTAAAACGATTACCAAATTTATATAACTACCATTATTTTTAGTTTGAAATCGCAAGAGATTTAAATATCTCAACTACCCTTTTTACTATGGAGGACGAAACCTGCAAAAACAATAAATAAATAAATAAATACACAAATAAATAAATAAATGTGTGCATAAATACACGTATTCTTGTTTAAATACATAAATAATTAAACGTGATGAAAGTAGGCAAATAAATTAAATAAATTGGTGGGTAAATGTTTAAGGAAATGCTAAACTCATCCTATTGAGAGAAAAATATATATATTCTACGTTGTGGACAGTTTGACTTTATAGTTATTCTCCGAGCATCCTCAATCACAGAATTTAGCGGTCCGCTGTTAATACCATCTGTTCCAAATGCATCATGGGAAATGTAGTTCAAAAAAGGCGTTGGACTCTCACGCAACACCTGACACCACCTCACACCACTTTTCTGGTGTCGCGTATATAAATGCATAAGAAAAAATGTATTGGGTTAGTCGCTCAAATAAATGAACAAACAAAATAACGGTTCGCTGTTTAGCGATAAATAATTTAAAGAACTACACATCCCAGTAGACTGTTAACGCGACTGGAGAATTTGGGGTGAGGGTGTCTTGTTGAGCGGGGGCAACACACAGGGTCTACACGCAGCATTGTGAGAATTACATTGTTGCACATTATCCAAGGGCTTAGAGACGATAAAATAACGCACAGCAGGATAAAATCCTAGTGCACAACTGCATCAGAATACTACGTGGACGCTGGAAACGACCACCGGCAGAGAATTGATGTGAATAATCATATGGAAGCTGAATGCTGTTCATTTAGTGCAACATCTACAACAGTCTGCAGAAATTTACATTCCAGAGAGGAGGTGAAGTGGGTGTCTTTACGTCCAAAAATTGCCCCAGCTTTAAGAATACACCATGATGAAGTGTTATGCATCCTAAGAGGCATTGCAAGGTAAGGAAAGCATGAGCTTCATCAAATTTGGCATTTGTGTCCATTGTGTGAAATATAACCTGTTGTGGTCAATGCTTGTGTGGTTTTCAGTCCATTAATGTCTCACCCCTCCTTTTTTATTTTTAAAGCAGATAGTCCCAGATTGTGTAGCTAGAGTGGTCCCTGACCCACATCATGCATAGAGGCAACTCAAGAGGGACCCGTGGCTTGCCCCTTTGTGTCCCATCTCATTTATGTGAGGGTCTCATTCCACTCTGAACCCACCCTTACCGATCTGCCAGCGTTGCTTAGATACAGGAAAGAAAGAGGGGTAGTAAAGGATTTTCTCGGGGGTTGATGTGATGGGGTGACCTAATCAAGTCTTTGTCTCATCCTTATGCAGTTTATTCAAAGTAGACACAGCTCAACTCCAAAGATGTGGATGTTAACTCAATAAAGTGAAATCAAATAAGCAGTATGTTGACCAGAAAGACAACAAAAATGTATTAAATATCTATTAACCCATCCTATTTTCCTTTTATCAGGGAAGCTTATGGCAAAAGTGCAGGATTTCCTTCCCATTTTACAGACTGAGTAGAATCACTATAACTTAACATATTTAACATGACTGTACTGGAATTTAAACACCACTTGTGCATTAATAAACCATGTGCTTTAAAGATTTTCATAGGTTTTAGCAGACAAGCATTTTCCATGCCCTTTTCACCAAAGAACTACATATGGTTAGATCAGTCATGACAGATAAACTTATAGTTATTAATGTTTATTAAGCTAGATATAAGATTGAAATATGTTTTTTATCATATGTAAAAAGTCTGGCCATATTGAATAAACTGCACCTATTTAAAATATTAACTATCACATACTAATAATACAATATGATCCAAGTTATACTCAACCATAGGTCCTAACTTTTTAAGATTTAATTATGTGTTAGTTTATTTACTAGTATCTGAATTCTATTCTGTTATATATGAAACAAAAATAACTTTGGTAGATCATTGTAAGTGGCTCTTTTTCTGTAACGTTGAGGCTATTTTGTGGTGATTTTAAATGCTATATCACATAATATCTCACTGTAAACAGCTTCTGCTGCAACACTTAATTAATTTCTGATTCTGTCATGACATTCAGTTTGCCCTTTGCTAATTGGTCTCTTTTCAGTGACTGAATTTGAGAGGACAGTTGCTGTTTGGAGTAATCGCAGGACTCTGGTGATAGGGCTCTTTTTTATTTGAAGAAATGTCACTGAAAAAATGTTTTACTTTAAAACATAATAGTTTTATTATTACATAGGCCTAATTACAGAAAATGACAAGTAACACATTGAATTAAACCTGAAATTTTCAAGTAGAAAGACTGAAGTAGTATTTCCTTGTATAACCACCGACCCCCCAAAAAACATTTTATTTATTTATATATTTATTTTACATTGACATAGACACATGCGGTCAAAATAAATCTGTTTTGCAGCTCACTGTGGTTATCAGTTCACAACAGAGCAAATGGCCAAGCTCAAGTTGAGTTTAATATGAGCAGTAATTTTTCCCAAGGCATAATGGAGGACCATCTATTTCTTATTATATCTGCTGCGACATTATGCAGAGCGACTCAGTTCTGAAACCATATAATGAATAAATCATTGCATTGAATATTTTAATCACCTGATGTGTTTCTTAAACACTCATGTCCTTGAGTTGAAATTACAGTTTGAACTATTCAAATGTCACTAAGGGAGGATACAGAAAAGAACTTTGCATATTGAAATAGTCTGTAAACTTGTCTTGTTTGAGCAACTGCTCTACTTGACAGATGTTCATCATCTTCTGTAACTAGGCTAACATAGTACCCGGGGAATTTCAGGAGCCAGCAAAAGTCCTGCTGACTTAGCCTTAACTAGGTTAACACTGCGTACAGAGCGAGCACGCTGTCAAAGAGTCACATATGAGAGCTTTTAAATAGGTTACTCTTTGGGAAACCTTTTCCGATCAGGGATTTAAATTGGTTAATTCACAGAGCTTTGACAGCAGGGTTACCTGAAATTCACTTCTATCAACCTAAATAACTCAACTCAGCATTTACAGTTACAGCACTTGCAACATTTTACCATTATGTTTGCATCTTAATTTGGAGATCACATGGATTGTACAGAAAATAACAAATAGGACACCTGCTGCTGAACACACTATTTGTCTGTAGATCTGTATTCTTGTGTCTGTGTGTGTGTGTGTGTGTGTGTGTGTGTGTATGTATGCATGAGTTCTCTGGGTTTCTCTTTCCCTGAGAGACCTGCACCCAAACCCAAACAGATGGAAGACTTTTCTTTCAGATGCTCATCATATCAAATCACTGAAATTGTAATGGTTTTTACAAGCAGTAACAGTCCCAAAATATCTTTTTGAGTTCAGATTAAACAGGAAGGAAACATGACACTCTCAGCTCTCACTGTTTTTAACCTTTGTGATGTGCTAAAAATCCAAATTTGTCGTTCCCTGTCCAAAATGATTGGCCTTTTAAAAATTGCTTGTAAATTTTTCATTATGCTATATTATCACCAAATCTTAGATTAAATCTTTTTGTCAGCTTCTTTTCTTTTAATTAGTACAGGTTTGGTATTTCTTATTGGAACTAATTGGTCTTAGGCCTCATTGATCTGAGCTTATGTAACTTTGAGTGACAAAAGCACAATTTGTGGATAATTTTGGCAATGTTCACATAATTAAAAGAAAACAAGTCAATAAAAAGATTGAATCCAATGTTTGGTAATAATATAGCATAATGAGATATTTATAAGCAATTTTTTGTAGGCTGGTCATATTTGACCAGGAACACTAGTGTAAAAATGCGGCAAACAAATACAAAAACAAACATAATTTTTCGGTAAATTTGGCAGTGTTCGCTCAAAAACTGTGCTAATTAAAAGAAAACAAGTCAATTCGAAGATTATATCCAATATTTAGTAATGTTTACTTGTTTGTTTCAATTAGTAAAGGTTTGGTATTTCTTATTGGAACTAACTGGTTGTATAGGCCTCATTGATCTGAACTTATGCACCTCAGTTATTTGTGGATAATTTTGGCAATGTTCACTAAAAAAACTGTGCTATTTAAAAGAAAACAAGTCAATAAAAAGATTGAATCCAATATTTGGTAATAATATATAACATAATAAGAAATGTATAAGCAGTTTTTGTAGGCTGGCCATGTTTGACCAGGAACACCGGAAGTGTAAAAATGTGGCAAAACCCCCCCCCAAAAGTACAAAAATCATAATTTGTGAATAGATTTGGCAATGCTAACTCAAAAACTGCTAATTAAAAGAAAGCAAGTCAATAAGAAGATTGAATCCAATATTTGGTAATAATATATAACATAATAAGAAATGTATAAGCAGTTTTTGTAGGCTGGCCATGTTTGACCAGGAACACCAGAAGTGTAAAAATGTGGCAAAATCCAAAAAAAAGTACAAAAATCATAATTTGTGAATAAATTTGGCAATGCTAACTCAATAACTGC